TGGAGTGGTGACCAAAGCTCTGCTGGGGGATTTAATGGCTACAGGGTCTTTGCAGGGCTCTGAGGCATGAAGGTGAGGGCTAAGAGGTGCCCAGGGGGTCACTGCATGGTGAAAAGCTCTAATTATGCAGTTTGGCAGCTAATGGGGAAGGGGCATGCAGACCCAGGCCAAAAGGCAGGGATGTATGCAAGGGAGGTGCCACACTGACAAAAATATCACTGTGAGGGCAGTCAAGCATTTAAACAGGGACCTGGGGAGTCTGCAGGGTCCTTGGAGGGTTCTGAGGTCAGGTTCAAGCCCTGGGCAACCTTCTCCAGAGGCACCATGTTTCTCCTGACAGAACTTGAAGTACAGTCCTCTCAGGTCCTCTCCAGCCTGGATGACCCCTGGATGACAGAGTTGGGATCTTGTAGCTTGGTCTCATCTATTCCTCAGTGCATCCTTTCTGGCCCTGAGCTATGATTCCTGAGCCATGAGCATGCCTGTGCTGCTGTCTTTGGCTACCATCAGTTAGCCCTTTCCAAAGGTCACTCAATTCTTGCCTTCCGCTGCTTGGCACTGCACAATGGCCATTCCCACCATTCCTGGTCCAGCAGCCCTCTTTGCTTATCTCCTTCCAAGCAGCCTGGAAGGAAAAGAGGAAACTCCAGTCTTATTGGTTCCTAATGGGAACTCTGCTGTGGATGCTGCTGGCAGATAGCAGCTGGAGTGGGCAAGTCTGTGCAGTTTAGGTGATTACACCCTCAAGAACATCTGCTATAGCAGGTCCGACTCCAACAACCATCCAAATCCACACTCAGCACATTTACCTCTCATGGGGGCCATAATCAAGCCACCATGATGCAAGGAAACATCACTGCTTCCTCCTCTCTGCACTATGTGTCACCTGAAAGTTCATCTTCCAAACTTGGGGCCCCTTCACCATTTCTCAAGTGTTTCTTTGGTGATTGCCAAACCTGGAATGACTCAAATACTTGAGGAATAGACAGTTCTGTCCCCTCTGTCAGACTAGCCATCCAGATGGGATGGACCCATCCCCGCTACTTTCCTTTTCTTATTTCCTCCCCGACCTTACGTGCAGGTTGCCCCAATTCTTCTGTTCAGCTGAGGCTTTTTACATGGCATCTCTTCCCTTCTTTAGCACTGCTGCATCCTAAAAATCCATATCCCCAGGCTGGCCTGGGCTGCAGGAGCATTGGCTGATAAGCATCCAGCATTGTCCTCCAGCAAGAAGGAAGATGATGACCATGAGTTTGAAGCCCCAGCAGTGGGGGAGTCCTTCTCTGCTGGCTTCTGGGTGCTCTGGGGGAAAGTGTTGGCAGGAATGGAACCTGCACTGTTCAAAATGCCCTCCCTGCACTTCCCAGGCTGGGCTTTGGATTAGCATCCCAGGGTTCAACCATCCCAAACTCATCTCCCAAACTGGGAGATCACTGTCCACAGCCAGATTTGAAACCGTTTTCTGTCCTGGTGGTGCTCTTCCAAGCTTGTGTCCGAGGCAGACCTTAGTCCTGCTGTTACAGAGACTCTGGGAGCTGCGGCTTTAGAGTGAAGTGGTGGAATCTGGGTAACACAGGACACATGCAGTCTCATGTGCTGAAATGGTGGGAAGCCCTTCATCCCTCCTGGGCCCCTGGCTCTGCTTGGGACAGGCGAGGGGCCAGGGGTGGTGCTGGCACCATCCCCATCCCTGTGGGAGCTCAGAGCCACACCCTGGGCTGTGCCTGGCTCCTCTTCACGCTGAACAGGCGGCAATCCTGCCATGTGTCACCACCCGCCGTGGAGGCTGCAGAGATGGCTGCGCTGGCTCGGAGCGTCCTGGTGACCGGGTCCAACCGGGGCATTGGGCTGGAGCTTGTGCGGCAGCTTGCCGCCAGCCCCCAGCCCCCAGAGCACATCTTTGCCACCTGCCGTGATCCCAAGGGTCCCAGAGGGAAGGTCAGTACGGGCACAGGGCACAGGGATGGTCCTGAGCCAGGCAGGTGGAGGGAACCCGTGGGCCCCACAGCCCTGCAGGCTCACTGCTGACTCTGTCCCTGGCTGGGTAGCCCAGCAGTGGGGACAGGAGTGCTCCGGGGAGGTCTCATAATCCCCTCCAGATCCCTGGATATGACAGTGCCTGACGTAACTGGGTGGGATTATGCTGGAGGGGCAGACGTGTCCTCAGCACTGCTCCTGGATGTGCCAATGGCCAGCCAATCCCTTCTCCATGCTGGGATCACACAGGATGGCGGGCAGTGCCTGAGCCCAGCAGCATCCCTGCTGGCCTCGGGGATGCCTCCCTGCCCCAGATGCTGGGAATGGCCCCACACACTTTCCCCCAAAAAAGCAAAGCCACCCTGGCTCGGTGACCTGGGAGCAGTGGTGGGACACCTGGCTGTGCTGCCAGTGACTTCTAACCTCCTCCCTTGCTCCATCACTTTATTTCCAGGCCCTGCAAGAATTAGCTGCTGAGCACCCCAGCATCAAACTGGTCCAGCTAGGTATGGAGCAATCTTCCTGCTTGCATCCAATGTTGCTTCCAGCCCTCCACTGGCTTTGGGGATGAGACTGGGGACAACATTGCCAGGCAGCTCTAGACCTGCTGGATGGGGAGGGATCCATGGGGAGGGATCTGTGGGGAGGGATCCATGCACATCTGGGCAAGCTTCTCCTTCCAGTTGAAGCTGTTCTCTGGCTGGAGCAGTCAAACTGGATTCAGAGGACACAGAGGTGGGTTCGGGCACCTCAGCTGAGCAAGTTTCATGGGCACATTTGGTGGCTTAGAACTAGGAATATGCTGGTCCCATACACCTGGCCCCTTGGAGCAATGACTCAGCTAATCCAAACAGAGCAGTTAATCATTCACCAAAGTGACCAAAACATCCCTCACACGTGGTGGAATGACAGAGCCTTGAACTATGTCCGATCCTTATCAAAAGAGAAGTAATTCCGAAGCACCCTGAGACACTCCTGCAGCTGGCCATGCACATCCTCTCAAATCCCGAAGCTCCATCCCCTCATGTACTGCAACCCCACAGCAGATTATCCCATCTTAGTCCCCTCAAATGTTTTCAAGACACCTCTACAAAGGTCTGTGCTGCAGAAGGCAAGGTGACAACAAGTCCCTGGCCACTCACATACTTGCTTACCACCATAAAGACACCAGGCCAATTAAAAATGCCAGGAAAAAGGATTGTGTTTCATCAGTGTGAGAAATACTCCAAGAAGGGAGTCTTCAGCTTTGCAAACCTTTGCTAGGTCAGTCTTGTCTCAGCATGACAACAGAACCATAGCTGAGGGGCCAAAGTGTTGCAAAGAGGAATCTAGCCCTGCGGTCCCCTGATCCCAACAGGCTCATCAGATTGGCATTTGCTGTCAATGGGCACAGAAATGTGTACAGGGAGCAAGGGCACACTCCAACATGCTCTTGCATTTGAATATTCGTGGTTCTTAAGAGCTTGGTGGTGCACTTGAGGTATTAAAAGGCAATATGTAAAGATTAATGTGGCCTAACCAGCCCATTTAAATAAACCTTTTTAAACAAACAACAGTCACTTGAGTGGGTGAGCACCTGGTAGGGGATGCAGATCCCAGCAAGCAAGCCCAAAAGCTGAACACAAACTTAAAAACACCATTTCTATTGCCTTAAACAAAAAAAATCTTGCAATTAGAGCATGGCAAAATTTTAAAACTATGCCAATGGTTAAATGAAGAGAAAGGCACTGGGGATGCTTATCCCTGTTAGCCCAATTGCAGTTGTTTGTGGTTGCCTGAGGGGGGATGTTCACACAACTTTGCCAGTAGAGATGGAGAAGATAAGACACAGAGCCTGCAACCAAATGATGCAGGTTATATCCCAAGTCTTTTATTATTTGTACTCACTTCAGCTCATCTGTCAGCTCCAGATCCTTGTGGGTAATAACAGGAAGCAACAGAATAAAAAGAATAGGAAAAAAGGAAGGATTTTTGCATACAAATGGCTGGAAAACTATGGGAATTTGTGCTGTGGAAGATCAATTTAAGTACAGGTTGTTTAAAAAGACAAAGGTAACTCTAAATGACCAGTCAGAATGGTATAAACCAGACAAGATCTTCATGTAATCCAATCAAATGAATGTGTTTCCCCCATGTTAGCAGCCCCTATAGCTGCTGTGCAGTACAGAAGAGCTTGAAGAGCATGGTTTGGTTGTTTCCTCAAGGATAGTGACTGTCCTTGAAATGTGCCTGTTTGCATTGGCTCATAGTGGAAATCAACCTGGGAGCCTCAGTGTGCTCGGATCGAGCATCCCTCATGTGATCATAAATTCCTTAAATACAGAAAGAAAATACAGCTGAGTTCTTTCTACCAGTAGTCCCCATACAACCCAAAATGAGCTGAATTGAGGTTTAGTTTGGCTGAGGCTGCAAAATCAAGAGGTGAGGACAAACTGTTGCTCATTTCAATGTGCTGAACACCCTGACCTGCTAAATCTGGGTAATGCTGGTTTAGAGAGAGTCATTCCAGCCACAGCACAATTTCCAGTGGACACTGTGTGACCTGCCAGGATTCTCCTCCACTTTGCTTTTTGCCCTGGCAGACATAGTGAACTTACCCAGCATCCAAGGGGCTGTGCAGGCTGTGGGGTCTCATCTGAAGGACCAGGGCTTGAATCTGCTCATCAACAATGCGGGTGTCAGCTCACATGCCACACTGTGCTCCCTGGACATGCAGGAGATGCTCAACGTGTTTGCCACCAATGTGGTTGGGACGCTCCAGGTTACCAAGGTATGTGTGGACCTTTAGGGTTTCTCCCGGTTGGGGAGATGTTCCATCACGGGAATAAGGCCTCCTCCATGGGACTCCCCTGCCCACCCAGAAGAGTTCAGCAGTTCAGTCCAACCCGAGCATCTCCTGTGCTTTGCTCCTATCCAGCTGGAGCTCCTGCCTACCCCAGCCTGCCTGTCAGCTTGCTCCTTCCCTGGGGAGGGGAAAGGCTGGAGCCTGGCCCCTCTTTGGGGCATCCTCCCCATCCTCTGCCATTCTGTTGGGGATGTCTGTCCAGCTGCTTGCCCGTGGTCTGTGACAGAGCCCTCCAGGGCTGTCCTCCAGCTGGGTCTTGTTACTTCTTAACAGAGCATCTGTGTCTTTGCATCAGGAATTTCTGCCACTCCTGCAGCAGGCGGCAAAGGGTGCAGGGAAGCAGGGGCTGAGCTGCAGCAGGGCCGCAGTCATCAACATCTCCACCAAACTGGGCTCCATTGGGCTATGCCTCGGAGTGACAGAGGCCCCCATGTACCCGTACCGTGCCAGCAAGGTGAGGTGCTGCGGGAGGTGCTGGGAATGCTCTGCCATGGACAATGCCTGTGGAGGGGAGGGAGCCCATGGGGGCTACCCCTGCCCCAACCACCTACCCCCTGCCTGGTTCTCCCAAGTGGAAGCATAGAGACAGGAGTGCACCCAGGACTAAGCCTTTCAGGTGGGTCTTGCCGATGCTTTACCCCAGGGGACAAGTTCTATTTTCCACCTTCACCAGCCATTTTCTGGCTGTGAAATGTTCTCCCTCCTGCCCACCTGCACCCTGCATCATGCTGGCAGGACTGTGCCTCTTCCAGGCTGCCCAGAACATGGTGACACGGTGCCTAGCTGCGGAGCTCCAGGACAAGGGGATCTTGTGTGCGGCCATCCATCCTGGCTGGGTGAAGACTGACATGGGGACAGAGAAGGTACTGGGTTGTGTCAGGGGTCAGCAGGACTCCTGCTGTATTCTGATGTTTTGGAGAGGGAAGGAGCACTTGGGGGATGTTGTGTGATGTTGTGGGCTGCCAGGACCACCTCCTGGGGCAGTGCAGGCAGGGAGCAGGCGGGAAGTTGCAACATGCCAAGTACATGGGATAGCCAGCCCTGTCCCTCCAACCCAACCTGGAGAACAGACGTATGGCAGTAAGGAAAATTATCCCCATGAGCACCATGGGTGCTGCTTCTGGGCTGTGCACCCTCCTGTCTGCCCAAGAGCTGCTCTCTGTGCTGGCCACAGCCCAAAGCACTAACACTGTGCCTTGTCTTCTTCTGCAGGCACCGCTGACAGTCGAGCACAGTGTTCAGGGCTTCCTAACTGTGCTGGCCAGCCTCTCTCAGGACACCTCTGGAGCCTTTCTTGACTGGGAAGGGAACAGCCTGCCCTGGTGATGGACAGATGGGTGGCACTTCTTGCCCATGCTGCAGCTTCCTGCTTGCTGGCTCACCTCTCTGCATGGTCACAGCCACAGTCTGGGCTGTCAGGGAGAGGGGAAAGGCTTGGGAAGCAGCTTCTCTCCTCTTCCGCACCCCATGCATAGCCTTGTGGTCCTCCTGTACTCTGCACATCTGTAAACTCTGGGACCTGATGCCTCTGTTTCATTTCCACA